CCTGTGGTGGAGGGGATGTGCTGCGCTGGAGGGAAACCTGCTCTTCTGGGCTGCCTGGATTCCTCAGAGCTAGCAGAAGGAAAGACTAAGTCTGCTGGTTCACAGAGACTGTGGCCACCCCTTTCTCTAGGGGCTCAGGCTCAGGGAGATCAGAGTTCTGTCCCTGAGCCCCTGTCTGGAGTGTAGGGAGGCCTCGCCCAGTGAGGAGGGATGGGTCAGTGTCTGGTTTAAAGAGGCAGTCTGGCCGTAGTCTGCCATAGCTGGTGGCTGGGCTGTGGGGAATACCTCTTGGGACCCAGTCATCCAGCCTCCCTGGCTTCAGCAGGGGAAAAGTGTGGCCTGGAGCTTTAGTGATGGCTGCCGCCCTTCCCCACTGGGCGCTTAGTGTGTTAGGTAGCTAGCAGCTGCAATGTTGGCTGCTGCCCCTCCCACAAGGAACTCATAAGGCTTAGACAGCAAGCAACAGCAGCAGTGGTGATGCTGCCCCTCCCCCCACAAACTTGGCAGACTTAAGCAGATTTCGGTCAAGTGGCTGTTGAGAATCTGCGTGGCTCTGTGGTTTGGACCCTAGGCCCTGGTGGCATGGGTTCGTGAGCGGGATCTTCCCGATCTATGGGTTGCACGGTTCCTTGGAAAAAGCAAGGTTCTCCAGGCTGGGTAGCATACTTACTTCCTGCCTCCCTTGTCTGGGTGTGGGGGCTCCCCTGCCCTGTGTCTCTCTCAGGTAGGCAGCCACACCACACTGCTCTTCCTTTTTCTCTCTGGGTCATGCCAGCCGCCTATCAGTCCTGATGACAGAACTGGATACTTTAGTGGCTGGTGCAGGATTTGTATGCTCTTTTGCTTCTTTTAGATGAAAGCCTCTAATCACCACTGCTTATAGTTGGCCATGTTGGCCCCCCCTCCCCTGCCCCCCAACAAATTCCTGTACTTTTTTTTTTATCTTAAAGGGAGAACTATGTAGGGATTTTTTAAACATTTCATTAAAAGTGATTTTAACTAGAAAAAAATTAAATTTGTGGTAGGAATGGCAAGTTTCATTCTTATTGAAAGGACTTTTTTTTCTTCATATTTTGGTCATAATAAGCACTCACTAAATGAGAGCACAAAACTAAACAAAAGTGAATGAATAAAAGTTTTTAACTTTCTATTCACTACTATTAAAAACACTTGTGTTTAAGTGTCTTTATGCTAACTCCCCTTTTCCCTGCTTCTTTTTCTAAGATAGTGTCACTTGTGTGAGAAAAATGGTCTCACATGACCATGTGGCAGGGGACAAATGGAACTCGTTGGACTCATGCTGTTACTGGGTGGATACTTGCTATCCTCCATTGAGACACAGCAATCCTGGCCCAGTCACTGCTCCCCCATCTGGCTGGAGTAACCTGTAGCCTAAGCTTGTCCAACCTGCGGCCCCAGGATTGCTTTGAATGTGGCCCAACACAAATTTGTAAACTTTCTTAAAACATTATGAGGTTTTTTTTGATGTTTTTTTCTCCTAGTTTATCAGCTGTCTGGTAGTGCATTTTATGTGTGGTCTAAGACAATTCTTTTTCTTCCAATGTGGCCCAGCAAAGCCAAAATATTGGATACCCTTGCTACATAGATTGTCTTCTCTCATGCTTTCTGATTAACTGAGCCTCATCTTGTCTCTAGATGGCAGAGAAAACCTACTGAGTTTGGGCCATATCCTCTATCTGCTTCTTGGCCTAGAAAGCCAACACTATAACCTCTGCTGCAGGCTCACCATATCCCTTTTGTAAGAAACATGTGCTAGGTCTCAGCTCAGCTTCCTTTGTATCCACACGTTGAGAGCCAGTAGTCTTTTCTCAGGTTCATCCATGAGTGAGAGGAGCAGAGGGAAACGCTGCGTTTAAACTGAGGCCCTGTCCCTCTACCCATCTGCTTTTTGGGCTCTCTTCCACTCCCAGTAGAAAGTTCAATGTTTCCACGGGGACAACCTGAAAGATGGCTCCTCCTATATTTGCAATGGAGACAGGACATCCACTTGCCATCCATCCACCAGTGAGTTCTCCTCCCTTCAGGGATTTAAAGTCCTAGAGAGGAGCACCACTCCCTGAACCCTGACTTGGTCTGCCTTACCTGTCTTTGTCTACCTCTGATTCCAACTTCATGGATTTCAAGAGTGTCTTCAGCTTATTATGTAAAAAGTTTGGAATTTGACCATCCAGGTACATCACTGTAGTTCACTAAAGGAGAGGTAGAGGGTTTAGCACACCTTGTTTCTTCAAACTTGTTTTGCCATTTTCTATAGTGGACTAAAAAATAACATGTCTTGGTCTCTATAGATGACTGTGAGGTAAATAAGTTGCATTATTTAATATTTGCAAAGTGATTGCCCTCATTACAACTTTTTACATGTAATCACTAAGAAATCTGACACCTCTTATTGCTCCTTTCATCTTCTGTACTTTTTATTTTAATCCCTTTATCTTTCTTATTTCTTTTAATCTCTCTTTCCATTTTTTAAAAATCTCAAATTTGATGAGAACTCTGGTATACGACACTGTCCCTGAAATATGCTATTAAAAAGGAACCATAACAACTAAGGGCATTCTCCTTAACACCAATCTCCTGTATCTGCAATTTGCCACCAGAACACTATCTTGATACGAAGATGCTACTTGATTTACCTATCACTAGTGAGGGAACAGCACTGTACTAATGTTGAGTGCATCACATTTGCCCCCTCATTATGTAATGTCTCCAATTTTTCAATGTGTGTTGTTAGTTTTGTCTTCCTAATTAATAATAACCTTCTTGCATGATTTTATGTGTCTGTCAGATTGCTGTTTATATTGTGAGGTATACAAAATATTAACAAATATCTGTTATTGTAGTGGTCAGTAAGAAATACTGTTCAATTAAACATAACTGAACTATAACTACCAATCATCTTTTGTCCCAGGGGGAGGGTGAGAGAACCAAGAGTATTTTATGAGTATGATGACCATTCAGCTTGTACCTCTTCTGAGTAAGATAAAAGATGTGAGAACTGGCCTGAGTAGAACTATGCTTAAAAGCTATCTCTTTTAAACATGCTTGTGGTATACAACAGCCACAATCTATTATTGTGGAAAAATTTTTGCAAGTAGGCACAGAAAATAAACTGTTGTATGTTATAACCATAGGTAAATGCTCTATTTAACAGCTAAAAATGCAGTTACTTTCATGAGCTTTGTGACTAATTTCTTCTGAAGTGTGTGCTTGGATAACAAGTACCAAATCTTAAGTTTGTCCTCAGTGAAAATAAATGAATATCAAGAGGTTATCTCATAATTCTTGTTTTGTGTATTTAACCTCATTCTCTCTAAAATTGAATTTATTTTCACTTAGTGAATTAGTTTTGCATGGGTAGTATGCTTAAAATGGGACCACATTAATGAGCCTTTGTAGACATCTTACATCAGTCTTCTCCTCCCATCCTCAAATTATACAAGTGCACATATACCGATATACAGAGTTAAACATTTATTTCATTAATTATTCACCGATAGTGTGCTGAGGTGTTATTTTGCTAGGATTCATCATACTGCCTCCTTTTCACATTTGAAGATGACTGATCAGGATTGTGAATTGGGTCTTTGGTCAAGAAATACAGTGAAGTTTACAAATTATATAGTCCTCACGTCCAAGTCACACATGCCTTGCAGTCTGCTACAGATATTATCTCACTGTTAGCATTTGTCATAGGTCTTTGGAAGAACGTGGTGCTATGAAGTGTGTGTGTTCTTATCAGAAAAGACTTCTAAATGTAATGGTAAAAAAAAAATTAGGAAGCATGATCGTTGTTCAAGCTTTATTATTGATTCAAAACATAATTTTTAAATTGATGGATTCGGTCTAATTGATGGTGCAATAGCCTTCTATCCCCAGAAATATTCTTGATTGCATCCTTAGAAGCCAATATGTATTTATCCATAATTTTATTCTACTATTTTCTAAAAATTCAGGAAGCTTTTTGAATTTAATTTCTGCCAGAGTTTTTCGAACTAGAACTGAATTATAAATGAAACCACTTTACCAAGAACCACGAAGAGTGAGGCTGTTGGTTTGTGAAGTTTGAGACCTTATTAATATTCCAAACCAAACTTGACTACTGCTACCTCATTACATGGCATTGGACAGATATTTCAATATTTTTAAACATTTTAATTCAGCTGGTAACTTGCTTTAAAACAATATTGATGTTTTAAAAAATTTATTCTTGGTCATATATATCATGCTAAATATCAAAATGAATTTGTAAGTATTTGAGGCTGTCTGTTTGACAGGGTATTAAATTCTTGGAGAGTCTTTCTTTCCCCATGCTAATTTTCATCAATTTTCCATTGCTTTCATTTCCCCTTGAGATTTAGCTTTTTAGAAGAATGATTCATTCTTTTCAGCATATACCATGATCATTAAACAATTACACCTTTTTCAAGCAGAGCAGCAAAAGACTCCGTGGATAATAATGAGGTTGGAAACTCTCCTGTACAACCTGTTGGCTCATCTTGGAAGAAGAATGTCATGCCAAATTATTTTTTATGTGGTCAGTAATAATGTTCTAACAAGGGTGGATGGAGAGATGAGCATAAAGGGCAATTCTAATGGAAAGAACGATAGTAATATTCACCTTGCCAAAACATGGTAATGTCTTGACAAGATGCTACATGCTCTTGCTGCTAAATTAGGTTTTATACTAAGTTAGCAGCCTCTACAGCTATCTACTATCTTTCAGAATGAACTAGAAGAGAAATAATATACCTGTCATGTTTTAGAAATCTTTCATATGACTATGTAATAATTGCCTTGAGAATACCTATTACACCTAGACTTTATGATGCATTAATTGTGTGGAATGATCCTGAAAGTATGAGTGGAGTAGGCAGGAAGAAAGTTTATTTGAATGTAGTTGCGGTCTCTACCTACCTTTAATTTTTAGCTTTGTACTGAACTCCAATATGACTGAAATTTTAACTTTTGATGTTTCCTAGGTACAGAATTTCAGAGTGGGATATCAGATCTTTAGTGTGAAGATACATCTACATTAAACCAGAAATCACTGGAAGTGACATTTGGACAAGAAAATTTGGAAAATTTTAAAACTGTGAAGGTTGATCATGGAAATTAAAGAGGAAGGGGCGTCAGAAGAAGGGCAGCACTTTCTTCCTGCAGCCCAGGCCAGTGACCCCGGGGACTGTCAGTTCACAAGTAAGTATGTGTGTATCCCTCCCTGTTTTTGCATCTGAAGATGCAAATTGGGTCGACGAAACATACACATATATATATGTATTCATAGATTCATAGGAACTTCGGTTCTAACAAATGGCATGAAATTACCTAAGTATTTTTTCCTTTGCACTATTTACCTTGGTGGTGTGAGTGTATGATATACCTCTCATCTTTTATCGTGGGTAAGATAGATGATAATCCATGAAACGGTTAAATACCAAGTAACAAGATCAAAGCTCTTGAATATATATTAAGAGCCTAATACTTTTTAATTATACCTTCTAGACACTAATACTTTCTAAGAATGATTTCTATTGGTATTTATATAATCTTATATGGGAATATTTTTTATACTGTAGAAATTCTTTCTTTAAACCCAAAAGGAAGTTAAGTTAAAAGCATTAAGAAAAAAATGGTTACACTGGAAATTTAGACTGTCACTGCCTTACCAAAGAACATTAAGCCACAAATACAGAGCCAGTGGAGATTTGGTCAAGTTTGCATGTGAACATTAAAATTCATTTTTTATTAGTCAAGTAATTAAAATCATTAGAATAATTGTATGTTTGCTTTTATATTTAAAATTTTAGGGTTTGGGTTTTATTGTTCAGCATGAATTATGCCTTTTTCTTTTCTTTTCAGAAGATTGCTATAGTCCAATTATTTAACACTGGCCAATATATGCCTAACCTTCTCTTTTAATTTACATTATAAAGCTAATCTTTAGAAAATTGTGTTGGTTGGAAGCATTTTTGAGAAATTTGGTTGTCAATGTTTAAAGCAGAGTTAATTGTTAATGATCTTTTAAAAAAACCCAGACATTTCAAGTTCACAAAAGCCTACCTAATGATTGTCACTTTAACCTCTCTTGAAAAATCTAAAAATTGTTAACCAAAGCAATTGTTAAATGTCAGCAGAAGAAAAAAATATACAGTTACTGTGCAAAAATAAATAAGTAAATAAATAACTCTGTGAATAAAAAGCAGTTAATGTTTACACAAAAGGGTAATTCTTAAAATGTATTAGTGACCAAATGCCAGTAAATTTAAATAGTATCTGATGAATGCACCAGCAAAAATAAGCAAGGAAAGGATTTGTATAATATTCTTTCATTTATTGCCAAATAGTTTACTTTTCCATACATGTTAGTTTTACTTATTTGGCCACCCTTGAGTTGTAACAAATGGAATCCCATTCATACATCCAGTCATCCACTCTTGTTTAGGAAGCTTCTACACTGTGTGTGGTCTTCAAGCATCTACCCATATCACTTCCCATAATCTGATCACTCTACCTTCTAGCCATTAGATGGTTCCATTTCCATACCTTTGTCCCCACACTCACTTTCCCTCCTAGTTCATCTTAAATTATTTAGCCATCTTGTTATACTTTTTAAACATTGCTGACCGAAAGAATGGAAACATTTTATAAAATGTTGGTTTGAGCTATTAATAAATTAGTAGAATAGCCAGCACTATAATGTCCATCATAACCTAGCTGAAGATATCTTTTTTGTTATTGTTTTACTATTTACAGCAGGTCAGAGTGGCTTGGAAAAAATCCATTTAAGAGAGTATTTTGGTAAGGGGGTTCTTTATGAAGGATCCACTTCTGTCTACATTGCATCCAAAAGAAACACAGTTGTAAAATATGTTTTCTGTTTGCCATGGCTTACAAAAACAACATTTCTTGGTTTCTTTATAACCATAGAGATAAAATGACCAATCAAATCTTAAGTCACATCTAGTTCTGCAACAAATATTATGCCCTGCTCTGAGAACTGATTATTTATAGGCCTGATAAACCAAGTTTATTCATTCTGGCAAATATTGTATTTATTCATTCTGGTCATGATGAAGCATAGTAATATATATTGACATATTCTTGATAATTCGATTTTTTTTTAAAGCTGAATTTGCATCTATTATTTATAGGTATCCAGAAGACTCCAAATGAACCACAGTTGGAATTCATCCTTGGTAAGAAATTCCATCTTATTTGTATCAATAAATATAAGAATTTGTGTAGTATTTTGCAAAGTATAGGTACATTGCTTACATCAATACATATTTTACAAATTTTTATGAACATTGTTCTGTTTTTAAAATTGTTCTATAAGGTAGGTGTTATTTTCTCCAAATTTATAGGAATTAACTTGCTACCCAATGATACAGGGTTCAGTGGTGATAGTTTTGCCTCTCAACCAGGTCTACTGATCACACATTCCATGCCCAGCACTCATTCTAACATAGTGACTGCATTTTGTTGCTAACCAACATTCCTGCAACTCTGTTTGTCTAATTTTCTATACCTGGGCTGGAGACTGGCCACCTATAGTTTGTCTTTGTGTTCTTTATGGCATTTCCAGGATTCTTGCCCATTTCTGTCTTATTCAAGAACCTTCCCTGACTCTTCCATATTGATTTTTGTGAACATGCCAGTGACTTGTGAGAATTTAACTTTCAATCAAGCTTTGACTTGTTTAAGCAACTCTAAATATCTGTCACATGTAAAAATTTGTAACTTTGTCCAAGGATGAATTAAAGTGTGCATTCTGAGACCAGTCCACTACTTAACTAATGAGTGGAAACTATTGTATATTTGAATTAAGTATGACTGCAAAAATACCATTAGGAAATTAGCTACAAAGAAGTACCTAAGGTAAAAATGTGGTTCCTATGAACTATATAGACTGGTCTTTTTTTTCCTTTCATGGTTCTGAATTATTTCAGAAAGACAGTAGTATTTTTACATTTTATTTTAAACTAAGTTTTATAGACTAATACATGCACATATTCAATTTCATATACAGAGACCACATATAGTATTATAGTATAAACATTTTTACATACTAACATATATTTTCTAAAGTTTGGGGAGCAAATTGAAATACTAAGACCGAGTATACATACTCTATACTGGGTTTTAGTGGTTGGAATTTCTAAGTATTTTAGGAACATGCATTTTTATTATGTTTTATATTTATATTTTTTGCTAAAATATTTTATTTTAAAGTATAACTTACTGAGGCCATAGTTGATATGTAATTCATTTTTTGAACATTCTTTGTTACAAATATAGCTAAAAATGTGCTATAAATTAAATATTAAAGACTTAAATTTTTCCAGGTATTGAGAAACAGGCAGAAATGTGAAAAAATCAAGAAAATTTTATAGTATCAAAAATGAAGCTATTCTTTTTTTCTCTCTCTCTTTCTCTAGAGAGTTTTCAGATTGTATCAGATATAAAAAGAACATGTTTTTGGAAATGGAGCTGAAGAGCAAAAGAAAGGCTAGGCACTCTTCACTCTTACTACTTGAGCTTACATCTATCCATCTTTCATTTTTAAGAGAAGAAACTCACTTTTTACATTTTTGACAGTACTTCTGAAAAGTGAAGTTTCATTAGAGTGGTTTGATGTATTTCCAAGCACAAATAAAGCTTTCTTGTTTGCCTGCTGGAGAAAGAGGGAATCTGAAGAAGCAGAAGCAATTAAGGTGGCAATTGTCAGGCAAATGTGGTGGCCAGCCTTCAAGAAATGGCATATCTGAGCCAAATACCTGTCTTCTAGTGCAATTAAGAGAATCTATCTTGTTCAAAGACCTAACTATGCTGTTTGTTTAGAAAGCCAAGTAAATTTCAGTAACAACACTATCATCACTTGTATTTCCGTTTTTGAATCACAGAATTAACAGATTAGCAGCTGCAATAATTTATTCATAATAATGTTCTTCCAGTATAAAAAACTTCAATTTCCTTTTTTTATATTTATTTTTTAAATATACTAAGAAACAACACCAAATAATTCTGTCTTATCAAATGTCAAGAAATGCCTGATGAATGTTTTTTCAAGTCATCAAGGAACTGTGTTGTTGATCCTAGAAGACACAGTTCCCAAACTGTTAGGTTCCTTAGCACTTAAGATCTTCAACTACACCATTTCTTGAAGAATTTTTAAAAACTACTCTCTCAAGGATATTACAGATAAACCCTTGTATGTTTTACTGTATATTTTTGTCATGTTTTTTTTGAGATTTTTTAATCCCACAAATCCTTCGATGTCACCTATTGTATGAGTCACTTCTATTCATTTCCTAACAACTAATGAAAGAATAATAGCTTCTTAGATATTTGTATCATGTTTAAGGGTGTGCATCTTTATTTAATCAGAAGTAAAACAAGAACAAATTCTAGGAAAAAGAAATTCAGTAAGGTAGAGGGCTTTTTCATCTAATTATTATTATTATTATTTTTTGAGACGGAGTCTGGAGTCCAGGCTGGAGTGCAGTGGCCGGATCTCAGCTCACTGCAATCTCCGCCTCCCGGGTTTACGCCATTCTCCCGCCTCAGCCTCCAGAGTAGCTGGCACTACAGGCGCCCGCCACCTCGCCCAGCTAGTTTTTTTGTATTTTTTAGTAGAGACGGAGTTTCACCTTGTTAGCCAGAATGGTCTGGATCTCCTGACCTCGTGATCCGCCTGCCTTGGCCTCCCAAAGTGCTGGGATTACAGGCTTGAGCCACCGTGCCCGGCCTCATCTAATTTTTTTAACGAAATCTTTGGTATTTGATTCTCTACTCTTAACCAAAGTATTCAAATTATTTAGGAATTTCAATGGCCTTGCTTTTTAAATTAGGAAAGCAGCCACACTGACCAATTTGTTAGATAACATCTTGCTTTGTTTAAGTTATTTTCCATCAAGGATTTATGTCCGCTTTGTTTGTGTGCTGCTATATAATAATTATATCTTGTTGAAGTTTCTCTGCTTATTGAGTTCCTCTGCTGAAGTTCCTTACTTATCCAAATAAGTAAGGTAGGAGGTACTTAGTCAATTGAGCAAGCTAATTGGCTAAAAGCGTCTTGAGCACAAGATAAGCATGTACTGAAAAACTGAGTATCTCTTGTCCATTGTTAACTGTATTTCTAAAGGTTGACTGCATTTAAATTAAATAATTCACCCTTACAACCGCAACTCTGTTTTCTCATATTTTGTTTCTTTGAGTGTATCAATACTTTTTTTTTTTCCCCACAAAGAAAGAAATAGTTAAAAACCTAAGAGAACACTGAGTTTGTTTATGGTTTAATGAAATTGTTTTGATTTCAATAAAGTTGACATTTAAGAAGAGGGATCATTTCTTAAAAACTAAGGACATTTCTTTATGGAAACAATTGTGGAAAATGTATAAAGAAGACTGATCTTGACAAGTATATAAAATACACTTCTATGAACTAAGGTTTTTCTCCTGATAATTATTCACCTTCACCTATTATGTCTAGAGTCAATAGAATGCTTATGAGAATGTCTTCATCTTTTATATGTACATCACATATACTATAAATCCAAAACAATAGATACTAATACCTATTAAATACATAGGAAAGAATGGCATGCATATATTTGCATATGCGTTCCATGTGTTCTTTCCTTGACACTCTGAAGTAATGTTCTTGAAATTAATTTATTCCTTGATGGCCAATACTCAATGCAAGCCAAATGACCAGATACGGGATACAATAAAAGATACATTTTGTACATGTCAACAAGGTTTGGGGTTGATTATGATAGGAATGGGGGCTTGGAAGCTAGAGTGAAAGCCTTAATAAGCACAGGTCATTTGCTCATCTAAATTATATTGGGAGAGGCATTGAAAACCTATATATAAAATCATTTCAGATAGTGTTAAGTTCTCTGTAGACAAAAAGATAGGCCACTGGATAGAACATATCCGGGGGAGAGGCACTTGACTTGGGTGAAAGAGAGACTACTTTAGATATAGAATTCAAAGAAGACGTCTAAGTGCTTATGCAGGGTATGGATACTAATTTGGATATTGTCCATATTGATCCTAAGAATTGGGTGACTTTCCAAGTAGGAGGGGACGAGCTATACTAGACATTTAAATAACACATAATAGGGTTCTTATAATGGGAATATTGGGATCGAAGGGTCGTAAATTAGGTTAGTGATTTGACCAGGAATGAAACCAAGTTACACGTTGTTCTGGTTTTGAGATTAGGAAAAAAAAAAAAAAAAAAGCCACAGGGAGAATGGCAAGATAGTGGAGGACCATTTGCTGGGCTACTGAAATCCCAAGATCAGAGTAGGACAATTGCAGGATAGACTACATGCTGAGCCAGTGAGATCTCACTCTCATGCTTCTTGTATTGTCCCCTCACTTTCACCTTTAACTAAGCTGCAGCTATCTGAATAATGGGATCAGGCCTGGTGATTGGATGCTGCTGAACATCTAGTGAGTAAAGGATGGAGAGATATGGGATTTGAAGCCAACAGATTGTTAGATCTTTTGCCTTTTGTGGAGCTGTTTTCTTTTAAGAATCCATATATTATGTGTAGAATAATTTTCTTCGAAAAATTTTTTCTCTTAAATTTAAAATGTGCTGACAGGCCGGGTGCGGTGGCTCAAGCCTGTAATCCCAGCACTTTGGGAGGCCGAGACGGGTGGATCATGAGGTCAGGAGATCGAGAACATCCTGGCTAACCCGGTGAAACCCCGTCTCTACTAAAAAATACAAAAAAATTAGCCGGGCGAGGTGGCGGGCGCCTGTAGTCCCAGCTACTCGGGAGGCTGAGGCAGGAGAATGGCGTAAACTTGGGGGTGGAGCTTGCAGTGAGCTGAGATCTGGCTATTGCACTCCAGCCTGGACGACAGAGCCAGACTCCGTCTCAAAAAAATAAAAATAAAAAAAATTAAAAAATGTGCTGACTCCTTCACCATAGGTTTTACTGGCACATAAAATAGGAGTAACCTGTGATTCAAATTATTTAACAAAGCCTTTATTTCTCAGTTTTCTCTAAAGTGGGTAAATCCACATTAGCTGCTATAATTTTATATTAATAAAGCAAAAATTATCACAAAAATAAATAATAGGCAATGTAGAAACACATCATAATTATATCTAGAATGTGGCCATCCATCATACATTTTTAGACATATTTAACCCTCTTTTTTTCTATTTCGC